AATACACTTGCGCAATTGCGCGGTGTCGTTAATGAAGTGAATCAATGTACCACAGCCGAACAATGTATTGCTAAGCTCCAAGAAAACAGTGAGGAGACATCATTTGTCATCTCCTCTGGTGCACTTGGCCAACATCTTGTACCGGATATTCATGACATGCCAAAATTAGATGCCATATATATCTTCTGTGGCAACAAACAACGCCATCAAGAGTGGGCCAAAAACTGGCCCAAAATTAAAGGCGTTCATACGTCAATCAAAAGTATTTGTGAAAAACTGGCAATAGCCGTCAAGCAGTGTAATCAAGATCAGGTAACTGTTAGTATTATTGGCGTTAATGAAGGAGGTTCTAGCGAAGATCTCAATCGTCTAGAACCATCCTTCATGTATACACAAATATTCAAGGAAATTCTCCTTGATATGGATCATGGCCAACAAGCCATTAAAGATTTGGTCACCTTCTGCCAAGAACAATATAAAGGTAATAAAAAAGAACGCAAAATTATCGATGAATTTCAGCGTACTTATCATCCAACATTGGCGATATGGTGGTATACACGCCAATGCTTTACATTTAAGATGCTTAATCGAGCATTACGAACACTTGATGGTGACATAATCATTAGAATGGGATTTTATTTATGTGATGTCCATCGACAAATTGAAAATTTACATAGCAAACAAATCAATGAATATCATGGTAAGACATTTTCACTTTATCGGGGGCAGGGAGTATTGACGGCAGATTTCGAAAAAATCGCTAAAAACAAAGGTGGACTTATTTCGTTTAATAATTTTTTATCCACTAGTAAAAATCGAGATGTCTCGCATTTTTTCGCCGAAAGTAATTTAGGAGCACCCAATATCGTCGGTGTTCTTTTTCAAATTATCATTGATCCCACAGAGTCATCAACTCCATTCGCTTCGATTCGAGAGCTGAGTGATTTCGCACAAGAAGATGAAATTCTCTTCTCCACGCATACAGTTTTTCGAATTGGTGAAGTTCGAAAAATTGACAAGAACAGTTCACTTTATGAAGTGGACCTTAAACGTACGGCAGATGATGATCAGCAACTCCGTCAATTAACCGATCGTATACAACAAGAAACATCGGGTAGCACTGGATGGCATCGAATGGGCAAATTGCTGCTCAAAATAGGTCAATTCGACAAGGCCGAAGAATTGTATACCGCATTACTAGAACAGGCATCGGACGACAGTGATAGATCATATATCCATAACATGCTTGGATGGGTGAAACGTAATCAAGGACAATACAAAGAAGCAGTTTCGTTTTACGAAAAAGCACTTGAAATCGACCGAAAAACTCTACCAGAAGATCATCCGTCATTGGCTGCTACCTACAACAACATCGGTCTCGCATATAACTACTTGGGTGAATACCCGAAAGCACTTGAATTTTACGAAAAAGCACATAAAATATTCGAAAAAGCTCTGCCTCCGAATCATCCCGATTTGGCTACTTCCTACAACAACATTGGTGTAGTGTATAACACCATGGGTGACTACTCGAAAACACTGGGATTTTACGAAAAAGCACTTAAAACAAGAGAAAAAGCTCTGCCTCCGAATCATCCTGATTTGGCTACTTCCTACAACAACATCGGTGGAGTGTATAACGACATGGGTAACTACTCGAAAGCACTTGAATTTTACGAAAAAGCACTTAAAATAAGAGAAAAAGCTCTGCCTCCAAATCATTCTGATTTCGCTCAATCCTACAACAACATCGGTTCAGTGTATAACGCCATGGGTGATTACTTGAAAGCACTGGAATTTTACGAAAAAGCACACAAAATAAAAGAAAAAGCTCTGCCTCCGAATCATCCTGATTTGGCTATTTCCTACAACAACATCGGTTCAGTGCATAACGACATGGCCGACTACTCGAAAGCACTTGAATCTCACAAAAAATCCCTTGAAATAAGACAAACATCTCTAGCTGCAAATCATCCTGATTTGGCTTATCCATACAATTGCTTTGGAATGATTTATCGCAGTATGAAAGATTATCCAAGAGCACTTGAGAATTTTGAAAAGTGTCTCTCAATATGGCAAAAAGCCTTACCTGAAAATCATCCGGATCAGGCTTTTGCATATAGTAATATTGGTGATGTTCATCGATTAATGGGAGATTATGAAAAGGCATTTTTATTTCATCGAAAAGCATTAAATATTCAAGAAAATGTTCAATGTAATCCTTTAGATTGTGCATTGGCATATATAAATTTAGGTGAAACTTATCGAGAAATGAAAGATTATATAACAGCATTGACATATTTTCAAAAAGGATTAGAAATACGTCAGAAGAAATTACCAAAAAATCATCCTGATTTAGCTATTGTATATCACAATATGGCAAAATTATATTTATCAACTCGACAATATAATATGGCAATGAAAAATATTCAACAAACGATTGAAATTGCACAAGAAAAATTACCTTCAACTCATCCTCATCTTTCGAACTATAAAGAAACATTTGAAAAAATTCGAAAGAAAATGTAATTTATTTCTAGACATTTTGAATTCTCTTCCTAGTTAATTGATAAATTAATATT